TAAATAACAATGAAGAGAAGACCTTTAAAATAAATAAATACTTTCACATTTCTAATTTACCTTAAATGCTAACTTGAGGAACAGAAGACACTACCAATTGTGATACTTTGGCTCATAAATTAAAAATGTTGATTTACTTGGTTGTCTGAAATAAAAATTCTGTGTCAGAGAACAATCTGTAAAATGTTTCAGGTTTAATTACAAGTTTTGAAATAAGTTACACAGGAAAGTCTCATTACTTAGATCAACAATGCACTACTTCATAATGCATGCAAACATAAAGAAAACATGGGAAGCCAAATTAATCCACATGAATAACTCAGTTTTATTTTGTAGTAAAAAATATTAAAAAAAAAATAAACAAAACATCTTCTCTTATGCTGACCAGGACAAAAGCAAAAGGAGAATCTGAAAGGACTAGAATTTATATTTTAAAAATATTTTGCCCATGTACAAAAGTTCAAAGAAAAAAGTTCAAAGACTAAGATTTCTATTATTCAGACTATAGTTTTCTGCAAAGATTACATCACATAATAAGAATGGTATATATAACAAACTCATTAGTGGAATATAAAGGAATATAAAACAATTTTGCTGATAATTCTGCAAGGTGATAGAAATTTCAGTTTTATTAAATACAAAAAGGTCCTTGAATTTGACAACTGACCTTTTTCAAGGTTTTAATACTATTATAAAATGAAGATAGAAACATATTGGAGTTACTCATTCCTGTGTTACACACATAAAATACATAGACTACAGCACAAAAATTAAAAACAGTGGCTTTGTACAAGGTTTTGAAATGCCATTAAGGACAAGTTGTAATCAGTTTGCTTACAAAAATCCACCCCCCTCCCTACTTTTCTTTTAACTAAAAAAAAAAAAAAAAAAAACGGTACTCACTTGAAACCATCCATTTGAATTTATTGTGTTCATAAATTTCTCTGACGGATACATGTAAAGTGTAGTGTAGCATACTAATCTTTTTTTTTAGTTGGATGAATCATTCAGAGAGAATTCATAAACAACCCAATTACATTTAGTGCTCAGGAGAATAGCAAGATTATGACCACTTTAACCTAAATTCCTAATCCCATAAGATGACTTCAAAGTTAAATTAATGGCTCAACATATTTGTCTCTTTCAAGCAGAATTCCACAACTTTGAGGTTTTGCTTTAACCATATTTTTAAAATCAGATTTCCTTCATCATTTCCATGATCATTTCTTTGGACTTAGAAAAAGCAACAAAGGAATCATTTTTTACTTTAAGTATTAAGACTCAGTTAATACATTTCAATAAGCAAAGAAAACACAATAAAAAGGTGAGTACCTGCAGTTTTCCTCAATCTACCTAACAGATAAAACAGGTGAAAAGTATTAGGTAATAAAAGGCAAAATAAAGTAAAAGTTATCAGCACTGCTAAAAAAATATAAGAATTATAGGTTTCACATACTTACTGTATCCTCTCTGTAAGCTTTATGAAAGACTAACAATCTTTAGTTGCAACAATGTGACATCCAAAGGAGATAGCAACACAGGTTTGAAATGACTTGACAGTAAAATCTGACACTGGGAAATTCTATAAAACCTGAGAATATTTCTCTTTTGGTGAGGATCTAACATATAAGAAAGGGAATCCATATGTGTATCCATAGGGCGAGATAGTATAAGCTTTAAAAAATTGTCAAATCCATTAGATAACAACATTTGTAGTTGGCCTGGAGTGGGAAATCAATAGCAATGCAAAACCTTCATTTTGCAAAGAAAATACCATTTTCTGCTTGTGTATATAAACTGTTTTGAAAGGATTCTAATCTAAGAACTTTCCAGGATATTTTAGATCATTATTTGTGCCAAATACAAAGATACTAACACAAAAAATAAGACTTAAAAAATAAGACCTGAAGGAAGCATACTACACATTTAAGTGTGAATTTAACAATTTTGAAAATTATTGTTTTAACACTTCTTTAATTCAGTTATATTAAAAATAATGTTATGCCTCTTTAAAAATATATTTGTTCCTTTAACATACCAAGAGGAAATAAGTCTACTCAAGATGCATTCTTAATTTAATAGTACACCATAAATGTTTTCTCTTCCCTTCAAAACCCTAAATGAAAAAAGTTTGCTAGATCCAATATGAAAATATAAGCTAATTGTAATCTTTCTTCTTAAACACTGCATCCAGGGCCATCTCCAGTCATCCTGATCTACATCTTGCCTTTGGACCTAGATGACTCTGGAGGAGGAAGCGAGGCTGGTGACTTTGCGCAGACCTGCCTCACTTAAACTCAATTCACTTGCAAGTCATGACATCACCTTCCTGATGTGATGGTATTCTTTGAAAACAATGACAAACAATGAGGTTTAGACACTACTGAGTTTGGAAGATGTGGTGTAGAGGAAAGAATATAAATGAATTATGGAATAACATAGGCAGTAAATGGAAATTTTTAATTACTTGAAAAAATTCCCCAAGATATCAGATGTTTAAAATAATCCCTTTTCACTGGGGCTAGAGATAAGCATATTTTGACAGCTGAAATACTGTTCTGTATGAGATGTTTAGTCTCCTTGACGATTTCTCCACAGATTGTATTTATCTGAAATGATTAGCTTAACTAATTGGACTCCCCCCAAGGAACTACAATGATTATGTAACCATATTTTATACATAATACTCTCTAATGATAATATCAATGTGTCATTAACTTTAAGAATTCTCCAAAGAACAGTTCTTTTTTCCCCTAAGATTACTAAAGATGATAGCATTTGTGATGTTTTAGGTAGTGTGCATCATATTTATTAAGTCTTGTATTTTTTTTCCCTACTTTGTGGAGCAGTATTATCTTGATTATATAAATTAAATGAACCTAAGGGTAATCTGATAACAAATGATTTTAGCAATGGACAATTTAAGCATATGGGTGGATATGGGTGGGGGGGAAGCATGACTTCCTCAAATGGCTAACAATTTATCTAGTCCAACATGAAAAGATTCTTTATTACAAATCACAAGTGGAAATATTGGATGAATATAGTATAAACATACTCTGCACAAGACTATCTTGACTAATGTAATTTTTATTTATTGTGACTAATCACAATAAAATTATGACTAAATTCCACCATGAAATCATGAAGTTTCTTTGTAGTATTGTTCAGCTGGTGGCAATAATTTATAAGATTGCTCTTTGGAATTAACTGCCCTCTGTAATACTGTTTTATCCAACACTGTGTAGTCTAAGAGCCAGTTTAGGACATTAGGTTGGGCATATGCCTGTAAAAAATGGTGATTTTAATTTATTTCAGAGACCCCAGAGGCTGTTGCTATATCCTACCAGCTTTTGATGAATAAGATTTCAGTCTCAGTAGGCCTTCCTTTGGCTCAATGATTGGAATGCTGTCTCTAATGCTATCATAGCCTCCTTAGTACATTGTTCAATAGTATGTTGTAACTTTCTGGTTTTCTCTTGTCTTTTGTTCTCTTATTCCTTGCTTGTAGAAATCAAGTTTTCTTGTCTTCATATCTGATATTCCTTGTCATCCAATATCCAGTCCTTAATTTCACTACCATTCACCTTAAAACCTAGTTTTAAGGAAGGCAATCGTTATTTGCCCCTGGGAATTCCCTGGAGCTTGTTAATGGCAACAGAATATTGGGCAAAATGGACTGCAGCATGGTAATTCATTTTTTTTAAAATTACATTAATACTTTTTCTAAAAGTGATCCCAAGATGCCTTGCCTCTACGCAGGGTGTTTGAGAAACACAAAATTTGTGGGGGAAAGAGCATTGTTGCTTTATTTCCACTTTGAAGTTCATCTTCATCGGGAGGACAGAGAAGATGCAAAGATAAGCTGTCAAGCACTAAAATGTTCTTTAGTGGGAGTTTTTTCACTTGTGACAAAGAACCTCAAAGAACCACTTTTTGGAAAACTATTTCCCCTCCTTTCTCTTTTAACTTTTGATAGTAAAAGGGGCAAAACTTTAGAGAAGCATTTGTGAAACCTCTAAGCTTAGCTAATTTTTCAATAAACATGATGGCAATTTGTGGAGATCAAAAGCATTTCTGTGAGTACTTTTATTCTCTCTTTACTCTGTTTGTGGCCCAAAGCCAATTTTTTTTTGAGTTATGGAATCTGGGAAGGAAGCATTTTAAAATTCAATCCCATTTATTCACAACTAGGAATTTGATCTTTAAATTTTTGTGAACACAAACACTTGACCAAGATTATGAAATGTTTCCCTATACTTTAATATATCACAGATGAAAACAGATCATTTCTTCTAACTATTCAGTGGATTCAGTGTTCTTCTTCCACCTGGCACTCAACTGTTGACAACTCCCTTTTCTTACATTCTTTGTGAAATATCAGCACTTCTGTTTGGACTCCAGGTCCTATAATCAAAGTTTCTTTATATTAAAACTATTCACCAATTTTTTCATATATTCTTTTACACTATAATTTTTAACTTATTTATGATCCTTTCTCAAGTCCCACAGGAAGGTCAATTTTCTATTTCCTTCCTGTGTTTCTGTCATTGTTTCAGTCATTCCTCCCACTCTAAATCCTAAGGCATTAAAAAAAAAATTGTTTCACCTGAAGTTAATCTTTGAGTGACTGCACACAACTACTCTTTCCAACATCTGCTCATCATTACAGATTTTCCAAGAAGTGAAAATTGTGATATAAAACAGCTATGTAGTCAAGTATGATCTTGCATTAAAGTTACCACCTCCATGTACTTATTCTCAGCTAACTGATATCTGAACAACAGACTACTCAGTGTGGACAGATTTCATATTTTTTAGATTGGATAAGAATATCATTGCTTGGGGTAAATTTAATATTTTAAATGTACAGAATTAGTAATACATGATGCATATCTGTAATACTCATGTCAAAACTGAAATGAGAAAAAAGCAATGCTTTTTTTAATTTCACATTTATTGAAAGATAAATCTAAATAATGAAATAATGAAATGTTCAGAAAAAAGTAAAATATTGTACAGTAGCCACTAACTTTACATAGTTATTAAAGTACCTTTAACAATACTTTATAGGCTTACTGTTAGGTAAATACCTCCACTTAAGTTATAATTTTGTTCACTTTAAATGTCCAAGTCAAATGAGTTCATAAAATGTACATAAAAGGGTAAAAAAAAAATCAAGCTTTTGAGAGTGACTATTTATGTTCAATAATTTTTCTACTTCAGCCTTTTTTCACATAAACATACTTTTCAAAATGCACTTGAAATTCAGATCAGTTTTTATCTTCAATGATGTATGACAGATCTAAAATCAAACTGGCCGTCTCCACAGCAACTTGTAGGCCATGAAGCTTTGCAGTAAAACAGTCCAAAGTCAGATGGCCTGTGGAGTTTGTGGCTTGCTGGACAGAAGAGTTTAGTGGAGCAAAAGAATGAATGTCTTGTAAGAGGCACCAGTTTAGTTCTTCCTGGTTACCATAGAGTCCACAACCACATTTTGAAACCAAATCTTGCCATTTCACATTTGAGGGAAAATCTGGTTGAATTGACCAAAAGTGTCCATACTTCCTATCAGTAAGAATTTTACCTTTATCATGCTCTAGAGAGCAAGCAACAGACTGCAGTGCATTGCAAAATGCATTAGTAACTATTTTATATTCTGTTTGGGTACAGTCATTGACTTTGAGAATGCATTCTGGAACATTGATACCCTGAAACGAAATAAAGGCATTGCAACGAGATACATGCAGTTAAATAACTTTTAAAAGATTGACCAGTCTTGTAATTTTTTTCAAAAACTGTTGAGTATTTCTGTTGAAAAGCTCAATAAAGTAACTTTTGCTATCAATTAACCCAATTGGCTGGAATACATTACTAAGAGAATTGTGTGGGTCAGGCTATAACAGTTTTGTTCCATGGTAATGAAACCCATGTAGCACATAACTGTGGTCAGCCATCTCATGCACTGATCACTAGCTAGGGTCCTGAATGCAAGAGTGGAGATGGATTAGTGAAGATTTATCACTGTCACTGGACAAAAACAAAATTCACTTATCCTTGCCAAAAGTGGTATCTTCACAGAAAAAGGACAGCATGTCATAATAATATGTTTTTGAGATATATGATAAAATTCCAGAAGGGTAATGTGAATGTTTTTGCACTGATAAATACTTTTAAGTAAGTGCAATGATTTACCCAAAACTGAACCCCCAAGACTTTATAGTTTAAAAGTAAAAATTGAGGGGCATATTTGCAGAAAACAATTCTGGGAGACAAGAATGCCTGGGTTCAAGTCCTACCTCTGACACATATTTGCTGAGTGACCCTGGGCAAATCACTTACTTGCTTATTGCTCTAGGCAACTCTTTAAGACTACAAGTTGTAGAAAAAGTGCTGACATGCATTGGTATGAAGTGCTTTCTCACCTGGAAGCTCCTTATATCAATGAAATCATAGGTCCAGTTCCTATCCCTATCCCTATTTAATTTTCACTTTAATTCTTAAATTATTTTTTGCCACATGCATAAAGAAGAAATCTGAGTTGAACAGGTGGCAAAATTTTAAAAATATTCAGGGATCAATTTTCAAGGAAAGATTCCTAAAAGAATGGAAAATATCTTGAAAGTTAATTACCACCAAAAACAGTAACAACCAAGATTTTGTAATCTTTATGAGTGTGGTCTGTACACATTTCAAAGGTATACCTGAAAATATGAAAAGGGATGAGCAAGCCATAGGTTATTGCTATAGTAAACCATATCTTCACAGTAATACAATTGATTTAGTAATACAGAGAATATCAGATGCCTCTATGCTTACTGTTCTAGTGCCCTAAACATTACATAAGTTTTTTCATTGATATTTAGAGTCATACATTTTCAGACATAGCCAACATGTGGTACTGTGTTGTATGACTCTGTTTATTTGTTACAAAGGATGTATGTGTGTTCATTTTTCATTTTTTTTGGGGGGGGGGGAGTAGTGATAGTGATACCAAAAAAGGAAGAAAACAAGAAGTGTGTCAACAAATCATTAAAAGTGGAAACTAAAGAGGGCAGGAGGATGTTCAGAAAGAGAAAAAGAAAAACAGGGCCATGTTAGAACTACCACATTATATCTGAATTATATAAAAACAAAACAAAACAAAACAAAACAAAAAGCATGGCACAAAAACCAAACTGTACATAACAGAGGTTCATAGTTTAATGTGCAATTTCCTTTTTTGTTTCTCTTTGCATATTAAAATGTTTGCTGATATTTTAAAATTCATAATAAGATTATTTTTTTAAAAATTTAAAAAGAGATTTAGTCTCTCATAAGACATCAGCCTAGCAACCCAGAGAGGGAAAAGCCAAATGGATGAAAAATCCATGTTGCCCAGATTATGACATGCAGGTGGTTGAGTCAGGCCATCCTTCTGTAGAGCTGGGAAAAATATACAGATGGAAAATGACCAGGTTCCAGAATTAAAAATAAATTAATTAAGATGGATTAAATTTGGGAGGCTGAATAGAGTTTTCAAATACCTCAAACTGTTCACTGACATTAAAAAACACATATTTTAAATACTAATATTTTTCTGGTGATGTTATATGGCTATAGTTCCTAGATTGCAATGATCTTAAATGAATCAAATGGCAGGAGATCCAAAAGGCAATGAAAAGGGAAAGAGAGGAGGCTGCAACAACATATTATGCCACTTATTACAAGCAAGTTGTTGATGAAATATATTAAGGACACACATAATTAGGAAAGAGAAGTGAGCTGGTCATACACTGAGAACAGGGGTAAGGGGTAACAGATGGATAGCCCAAGTATTGCCATGGTATCCACGGAATGTAAAAAGATGTAGAAAAAGGCATCAAATAGATGCTCCTTGGAAAATTTATGGATGAAAATGAACAATAAATACACAGGATAAAAAGGTATGGATGCATCTACACCAGTGGAAGAAAGCATCCACAGTGATAATATGGTCCTGAATTTTTAAAAATACATGCTAACAAAGACAGACAAGAATGAATTAATGGAAATGAAGGATTTATTGAGTGCCTACTATATGCGTAGCAATGTGCTAAGTGCTAGAGATAGAAATAGATAAATCAAACACTCCCTGGTCTCCAGGAGCCTGAATTCTGATGGAGGAAGGTAGAGCTGGATCATGAAATGAAAGAGCTTACAAATTTTAATGATTTAAGAGAGAATATAACGGAAGCAGAGGAGAGGTTTAGGGGAAAGGCTAAGAGAGACATGAGGGACAGATCACTTTTAGATGGAGAAGTGTGATTCCCAGTCACATGAACACCAACTTCTGGACTTGGAAGGGATTGTAGAGGCCTTCTGGTCTATACGCTCGTGAACAAGGGAAAACACCTCACACATGGTTACCTAACCGTTACCTGAAGGTCTTTTTCTGATTTCCACATGTGGCACAATATCTTTTCTCCAAAAAGCTACCATTGACTAATCTTATTTGAATATTGTTGTTTCAAACACATCAGATTTCACTCGGTATGTTAATTTATATTCATTTTATACTTTGTTGGTAAAAATTCTTATAGTTTTTTATATTTTCTCCATCAGATTGGGAATTTAAAGATTCATGACTTTAATATTTTCCCCTCCCTCTAAAACATCTCATGGATATCTCTGCACACAGTAGTCTCTCAAGAAATATTATGGCTGACCTAAGATTGAATAGCAGACATAGAGGAAACATCTGAATTCTCCTGGATCCATTTCGAAATGAATAGCATAGATATCCCTTAAATTAGATAATCATATAACTCTTAACATTGTCAAGGATTTTGTTTCTTGGTTAATTAGATATTTTGGTTAACAGTTATGTGTATCACTTATATTACCAATGTTTAAGGAATCATAATAAAAGAACATATATGTAATATTAACTATACTGAGATTCAAAAGATGTTTCATTATCTTATGACATCTCACTAAGCATGTGTTTTTGAACCTAGTATAAACTCTATAAATAAAAGTTTGTTAAATTTAACTGTACTGTACATGTGCAGAATTATTAAAGAATTTCAGTTCATAGTATTTAGAACTTACATCTAGTAAAACCAACATTATCTGGAAGTGTGGGAGATGAAATCTTCTAAAAGGGCTAAACTGCTGGGGATGATACTTTGATATACTGATGCTAGATGTGATGCGGGAACTTAAATGCCCCAAACTTCCTCTGTTGAGCACCTTCCCTTTGACAACATATTGCCTTAAATCTTTCACCCACTCCAATCCGTCCTACCCCACTACCAAAATGACTTTCATTAAGTTTAGATCTGACCAAACTCTTCTGCTCAGACTTCCTAGGACATCTAGGATAAAATAAATACTACTCTGTTTAGCCTTTAAAGCCCATCACAACCTGAGTCCAACCTCTCTTTCCAACCTCGTTGTACACTACTCCTCACTCCATCTTCTACAACCCTGCTTTTGAGTAGCTCTCTTCCATATCTCAGAGGCACTCCTTCTGCACCATCTGTCACCCCATAGCATCCCTTTCTTCAAGATGCAGCTCAAGCACCAACTTTTGCAGGAAGCTTCTCATGCTCTGTTCCACTACCAATGCCCTCCTACCCAAACAACCTTGTACTTTAATGATTTTGTGCTTGCTTATATTTATTTACTCTATAGTTATTCTGTCTATATTTATATATGTGCTTATTATCTTCCCCATTGGAATGTAAGGTCATTGAGAAGGGACTGTTTCATTCTTTGTACAGATATCCCAAGGACCTGGCACATAGTAGGTGCATAATAAATACTTGCTGAATAATTTTTTTAAAAAAGCAATATAAATTTACACAAATTGAGTGGCAAAATTATATATCATAAAAAGTTTCTAAACAATGTCTCATAATTAATGATTGTAATTTTAGGTACTTGGCAAAGTATTAACAAAATCTATTTAGCAGTTTTTGGTAATGCTGGATCCCAAGGACACCTCCAACACCGCTGCACATACACTGACGCAGCTGAAAGGCCAAAGGATTTACAGATTCTGATGTTGGGTTCACTATAGGAATTGGCCCAGTATAGTCAAGGTCTTCTGGCTCTCTCTGCCCTTCAGGGTTCCAAGGGGTCTGGGGAGTAGTGTCTATTTTCCCTACTGCTAGGCAGTTGAGCCCCTATCAGCTGTGTCTTCCCCATTTGTGTAAGTCAGTTATTAATTCCATAGTTCTATTTAATCACTTAATATCCATTAGCTTTTACAAAATGAAATTTCCTTCAAAGATCTATACATTTGCAAGTGTATAAGCATTTCCGCCAGCACTAGGTGGCATGCTCTCCTTTATACCACTTTGGTCTCTGGGAGAAGATTAATTGATTCTTGTTCACTGAAAACGCAATTGGAATCACCTCAGTTAAGTGTTACCTTGGGGAATAGGGGCCACAGAAGCTGTTGTGGCAACCAGATGAATAGCTGCAATGTGGCACAGAGTCATCCTAGACAGGCTACACGGTATGATGGAGAAAAACACTGGAACTGAAGTGACTTACTGACCCAGGTTTGTGACTTACAACATATGACCTTGGTCAAATGACCTTGCCTCCCTGAGCCTTGTTTTCTTCATCTGTAAGAGGGCTAGACTACAGGATCTCTGAGGTCTCTTCAAGTTCTAAATCTATGACTTATGAATTAGATATCAGCACTAAATGTGTAGGGACTTAATAATCACTTTTTTATTTTAAATGGATTTGTGAAATGTCCATAACAGGCCATAGTATCTCTTCTTTGCTTCCCTGGTATTATCTATTGAGGCAGCAAGATATATTGAATCATAGAATACTGGAAAAGAGTTAGGAAGACTTGTGTTCAAATTCTGATGTGGACCTGGATAAGTCATTTAATTTCTCGGGGCTTAAGATTTTTCACCTGTAAAATGAGGGGCTAGGACATAATGTCCTCCAAGATCCTCACATTCTAAATCTATGATCCTATGATCCAATCTAACCACCACAATGAAAAAACTAGGTTTCAGAAAAGCTCAGGGATTTGTTCAAAGTCACAAAAGGAGGATGCAGAAGGTGGGATTCAAATCTTAAAACTCCCAAGACAATGTTCTTCCTACAATAGTATGTGTTTAAAGGGGCTTGTTGTATGGACACCCCACTGAAGTGATTTGGTTATTTACTAAAAAGGAGAACTGTGTACGGTAATCCAGCTAATTGAGAAACTCATGAGGGGGCTGAAATTGAACCTACAATCTAAAAAAGGTAAAGCTAGCATGGCTGTGGTGAATCTCACAAGATGCGTTAAGGCTCACTTACCGTATGTCTTATAAAGGAGGCCAAGTGAGTTTCAGTGCAGCCACCTCCCAGCAAAGCCAAAGGTTGCCTGATTGTTAACTGTAAGATATGCTGCGCTGTTTGACATGCAAGCTGAAAAACAGAAATGTATCCACCAAGGTCAGAAGTTGCTATCACTCCCAAAAAGGGGAAAAAAAGAAACCCAAACCAAAAAACTTTGAAAGGAACACGTGACAGACTCACTTATCCAACGGTAATTTTCAAGGGACAAGAGTAAGTGTTGGCATGGTTCAAATGCCAACTGAAATGGTTTTGGCCAACAAATAACAGAAGCTGCTAACATGTGCTTGAGGGCACTAGAATACTCATCTCTTTCTTGACAGATAACACGGTACAGTAGAAAGGGACCTGTTCTTGGAGTCAAGAGGTCTGAGTTTGAATCCTGTCTCTCATGCTGAATACGTGTGTTAGTACAGACAAGTCATTCGTAGGCTCTGAGACTCAGTTTCCTCTTCCGTAAAGTGAGAATAATACTTGTACTACCTACTTCAAAAGGTTATTGTGGGGCAAGTACTGTGTAATTTTTAAATAGTTTTTTAAATGTCAGTTATTATTATATACAAACAGGCTTCAAACAGGATGGTTTCAAAAAGTTTTGAAACCAAAGTATTAGTGATACTTCTGTAGCTGGACTAGACTCTTCTGGACAACAGTACTCTACAGAAAATATCGATCAGATTCCTTTTGAGAAGATACAGTCACAACCTTGAAGAAGGCAGAGGAATAAAGACTGGATCTGTGTTTTCATTGGCATAGGGAACCCCTGAATGAGGAACCTCTTGCTACCAATGCAGAGCAGCATCTTCTCTACAAATTATCATCTTTAGAGAATAGGTGACACATAGCTAGTATGTATCAGAGGCAGGATTTGAATTGAGGACCCCTTGGCTCTAAGGCCAGTTCTCTATCCACTTCACTAGACTAATCTTCAGTAACCTTGTGATAACAAAGAAAATTAAAGCCTCATGCAAAACAATGACACTGATAACATTGTGAAGAACAATTCATCTAAGGATAAAAACACCATAGTGCCCATCTTATTTCCCTATTTAAATTCTATGCTTAGATGGGGAATTCAAGACTCTTGACTCACCTTCAGTTCATTCCACGCAGTCTCATTTCTGTTACAGAGAAGCAAACTGCAGACAGTTGAATCATTAGGAATTAAGTGAAAGTAGTGTTTTGAACCAAAGTTTGTGGAGCACAAATCCTTCACGTATCCATAACTTGTAGGTGAGATTAAACTCAGGGAACCAATAGTTTGTGCACCTATTCAACAAAACATATTAAATTGAGAACATTTTTCTCACAAATGAGCTAAACATGAAGCTGCCTTTATAAAAGATACAACTATACTAACACTTTATGTATTTGTTTAAAGGGAAAGTGGGGAAGGAAGTACCACTGTGAATTAAGTCTGAATTATATACTATTATAAAAGAATGCAATTTTATTTGTTATATTTATTAAGAATGCTGTAGAAAGGATTCATGATTTTGGTGGACATTGGATTGGATGGCCTCACATAAGTAAAAGTAGGCTAATAAATTGTTGATAAAATGAGTTCCTTTGGGGATCTGAGTTTGATGACTGATTTTACTGAGAGAGATTTTTAATAGGGACAAGGCAGAGAGGCATAGAAGAAAAGGGATGGATTTAGAATCAGAAGTCTTGGTTCAAATATCAGCTTTGTTACTTGCTTTCTCTGTGACCTTGAACAAGTAATTTCCACTCTTTGGGCTTCAAATTCCTCACCTGTAAAATGATGGGGTTGTATTAGGTGACTTCTGGACTTTCCAGGTATAAATCTATGATTCTGTGTTTCTCTCAGGTTCTTGTTTGAGTTATGACTTTTACTTTCAATTAGCTCACCTGGTTGGAGCATGGTGTTCATGGAGCTTTTGGGGGGCAATTAGTTTTGTCCCATTCCATGGCCATACTATGTATATATTATAATTTTTCTTAGTAATCTTTTTTTTTTGTTTTGTTTTGTTTTTAGGCAATTGGGGTTAAGTGACTTGCCCAGGGTCACACAGCTTGTAAGTGTCAAGTGTTTGGTCTGAGGCCGGATTTGAACTCAGGTCCTCCTGACTTCAGGGCCAGTACTGTATCCACTGCGCCACTACCTGCCCCCAGTAATCTTTTTTTTTAAAGTTATTCATTGGACAGTAGTAAGCTTCAGTTCAACTCCATCCAAAGAAGATAAAAAGACAAAAATGAAAACAGTTCCTAACTCAAGGAGCATACATTCTACTGGAAAGATACAACATACAGTTAAGTAAATACAAATTAAATTGAATAAGAGAATGCTAATAAATGGAGAATCATAGAAGGCTTCACAGAGAAGAAGCCACCTAAGGCAAACCCTTTAGGATGAACCCTTTAGACAAAACTGAGGAGGGAGTACATTCCAGGGACAGGGAAACAGGCTGTGTGTATACAGAGGCAAGAGTCAAAAGGTCAGGTTCAAGGAATAGCTAATAGATCAGCTAGGCAGGAATACAGCTCATGTAGGGAAATAGGAAATAATCTTAGAAAGGCATGAAGGAATCAGACTCTGGAAAACCTTAAATGTTGGAAGGAACATTTTGTATTTTAAACCGAATATAATTAATAAGCATGGTTCCCAAACTTTTAAAGAATTAACCATATTTTTAAAGTAGAAAAATCAATAAAAAATGTACATCATTAGGAAGATAATTTTAAGACAATTTTATCCTTATAAACTCTCTATAGCACTTGATTCTACTGGCTATTTCTTCCTGGAAATATAATGAGTTTTTTTTTTTAATTGCAATGTTCTCTGCTCTCTTTCTACCCTATTGACCAGTTCTCATTCTCCTTTGCTGAATTATCATCCATGTCACCCATTATGTGCCTCCTTACTATATATTCTCACCAAGGAACTGTCTCTCTTCTCTCTGAACACACTCTTGGTGACCTCATAAGATCCCATGGGTTTAATTATAATTTCTATGTGTATGACTCTCACTTCTATACATCCAACACTAGTCTTGCTCCTTAACTCCTCTGCTTCACTAACTGACAGTCTGACATTTGAAATCGGATGTGCCACAGATACCTTGAATGGAACATGTCCAAATTAGAACTCATTATTTTTTCCCTTAAAACCACCCCATTCCAAACATCCTTATTTCTTTCCAATGAACAGCTATGCTCCTAATCACCCAGTTTGTAATTCTCAATTCCTCTCTCTCCCCTCCATCCCACATATCCGATTAGTAGTCAAGTCTTGCTGATTTTACCTTCACAACAGCTCTTCTTCTATTCACATAGACCCTCCACCCTAGTTCAGGCCCCCATCACTTATCTATTGGAATACCACCAAAAGCCTACTAAATAGTCTTCCTGCTTTAAATTTCTCTTTTCTCTAATACATCCTACACACATCTGAAAAATTATTTTCCTTAAGCACTAGTATGACAATGTTGCTATCTCTATTCAATAAACTCCAGTGGTATTGATTTTGATCTTTGAGCCAATGATATAAGCTAATATAGAAATAACACCAATGTTGGCAAATAATCTTCTGTCTCTTAAAATAACATCCAATTTAATTTTTTGTATTGTTATTCAATGCTTTTCCCATCTGACACATTCAATCATAGTTAGGCATGGGTCTAATCATGTTACTTTCCTGCGCAAAATGCTTCAGTATATCCCTATTGTCTCTAAATTGTCATTGTGTTGTCTACAAACTACTTAGTTCGTCATTAAAAGGTAGGTTAATAGGGAGGATAATATAAAGGAAGGCACAGTCACAGGCAAACAAACTTCCTGATGATGAAGGAGGATTAAAAGGAAAAAACAAATAACTGGAAATAAAAGAGATGGCTATCAGTTGGGGAATAGCTGAATAAATCATGTTATAAATGTAATGAAATATTATTATATTGTAAGAAATGATAAAAGAGATGATTACATAAAATCCTGATAAAAAATGAACTTATACAAAATGCAGAGTGAAGAAACCAAAACTATTTATACAATTTCAAAATTGTAAAGCAAAACAACTTTTAAAGACCTAAGAACACTGATCAAAGCAAAAACTAATCACATCTCTAAAGGACTTAGATAGAAGCACATTATTCACCTCCTGATAGAGAAGTGATAGACTCAAGGTGGAGGAAAAGACATACATCTTTGGACATGGTCACTGTGTAGATTCATTTGGATTGACTATGCTGGTTTACTACAAGGATTTTGATTTGTTTTCTTTCTGTTTTTAACTGGGCGTTGGTGGGCAGGTGGTTAGCAATAGTGATAGCAACAAAAAAAGAAAAAGAAAAAGAAAAAGAAAAGGAGGGCCACTAAAGCATTTAAAGTAGGTCACATAAGAAAATAGAAGGAAGTTCAGTATGGGCAGGTAGGTGGTAAAAATGCAAAAACGGATAGTGCTAGACCCAGAATCAGGAAGACCTGAGTTCAAAAGCAGTCTCCAACACTTACTAGCTGTCTGACCTTGGGCTTCTCACTTAACTGCTGTCCACCTCAGTTTCCTCATCTGTAAAAGGGAGATATCATTTTCCCCATGGTTGTTATGAAGATAAAATAATATTTGTAAACTTTAAAGCATTATATAAATCCTAGTTATTATTATTATTATTCAGAAGCCCAGTCAAGCAGGACAAGGTAATTTTACTTATTTTTAAGGTAAGATATTTTAAACATAAAATTGCAACAGTAAATAATTAATTCTGACCAAAGATAATTCACAGAAATTACTTTAAACAGTGGAACTTATCTCCACACACATTGACATCAGAATTAGGAGTACCATCCAAATATCTTCAACTACTATTCTTAATGAAAAATATTTTTTATTAGAATGGAGTTGTAATGGAAGTGCCTTGGAAAGACTTAAGCATATGTAGACATTCTGTAACTGTTTTGGTCTGCTAACCCAGACCATACATAGTCAGAAGTCTTTTTGGATTTGTTGCCAAAATATGAACTGGAGGTGCTGTCCAAAGTCCTTGGTTAGTTTTGGCCATTCTTTTGGGCCACATTATTTTTGGCTACTCTTTCTTGGTTTGATGCCTTTGCTGATGGTGTTTGGTAAGAGACAATTATGTATGGGCAAAGGCTTTAGGCCTTTTCTCCTCTAAGGCTGATAGGTGGCCCCATGAAATAGGCATTGATTCCCTGTCTCTATTTTTCCACTTTAGGTGACAGGATGAGACTCTGACATTGTGAGTTGTTTTTTAATTTTATCTTATTTTTTTTGTTTGTTACATTTTAAGTTCTAAACTCTCTCCCTCCTTCCCCACTCCATATTAGAGAAGGCCATTATTTGACATAGACCTATAACATACTATATCTATAATATACTTTTAGAAGTATCTGTAATATGCTTTTTTTTGAAAAGCAAGCAGTGTGGAATAGAGATTCACAGTTTCCTATACAATCTTGATATGCTTTCATTCACTTTATATATATGGTGTTTGGGGTTTTTTTTGGTGTTTAAATTAGAATAAAATAATTAATTTTTTTAAAAGAGCCACGTAGACAGTTCTCCACTTCTCCAATATCTCTTTTCTTCCTTTTCCCTAAATCCCCCTCCAAAACCATTGGAGCTTTCTTTCCTATCCTTAATCAAATCCTCAACTCTACAACCTCCACCCTCAGGAAGGGGCAGCTACATGGCACAGTGGATAGAATGCTGGAGTTGGGAGTCAGGGAGACTCATCTTTGTGACCCTGGGTAAGTTACTTAACCCTGCTTTCCTCAGTCACCTTATCTATAAAATGAGCTGGACAAGGAAATGGCAAATCACTCCAGAATCTCTGCCAAGAAAACCCTAAATGAGGTCATGAAGAGTTGACTGAAAACCCTCAGGAAGCTGCAACCCATATCCTGAATCTCCTTCTATACCAAATTCCAGGTTGGAACCTCACTGAAGACAATTGTTACTGTTCACACCTTTTTGTACAGTTATATAACTTTAATAATTTGACAAATATTTCCAAAGAATAGAGAGGACCCAGCAAAATTTTGGGAAGAGTTAAAAACTGCTATAAATTGTTACAACCAAACTTGGGCTAATCATCAATCAGTGAACTCTATTCCTATTCATGTGCTGCTATACAAAGTTAGGGAAAATCACAAATCTCTACTGATTATGAGTCCACTACAAATTTTTGTTTTGTAACCTCAACTGGAACCTCTCTGCAGCAAGGCAAATTTTCCTAATTGATTCACTATTCCCACTTGGAACAGTAGGTTTTCCCAATCTTTTCATTCCTTCT